ATAACCTAAAAAGAACGTTCCCCTAACGTTAGTATTTGGTTCCCATCCTATCACATGCAGGCTGCTTGTGTGGATGCAGTCAGTTTTGACCGCAAAAAACTGATTGGATATCATGTAATTGACCGTTTACGACACTCCCATTTTCCTGTTTTTACATTAGCAGCGGCATTTTGCTTGTCAGAAATACATGTTCGGTTTTAATGTTACTTTAAGTTGGGGTAGAATTAAATGAATGCCAAAACTCAGAATTTTGTTCGCGTACCCCCTCCGTCACCTCACGTACCCCCAGTTTGAGAACCACTGCCATAGGGGTCCTTCACCCAGAGCTGTGTGAGAACTCTATTTTTTATATATTACATCGATGTTTACAGCTAAAATACGTGCATTGCCTCTAATATACTATTAAGCTTTCCATTTTAATGTAGTAATGGATAGAAGAAATAAAACCTAAATGCCTTTACTGCCACGAATGAGCTGACATAGTGATTTGACGTTACTCTCTGGGAGGTACACATTTAGGGAGGTACCGACATAACAGTTAATGGGCCATGAGTAATAATGTGTGTTTGTGTGCGTGCAGAGTGCATGTGAGTGCATGTGTTTGGCACACAATGCACAATGCTGATATCCTGGCACAAACTCACAGCATCATCAACAGGATTAGCCTAACTGTTAACTGTGATCTTTAAATGTGTTTGTGTGTGTTAATCTGTTCTGTGCCAACATGGCTAATTCACACTCTTGTAGCTGCTCTGTGGGCATCTAAACGGGCTCTTTAGCCTGGCACCATGTGGCAAACCATAATACCAGATGGACCGCTCTCTCTCTTTCTCTCTCCCCACTAGTCCTGGAAACTGCCCAGGCTAGAATAACATTTAATCTAGTTCCTTGCCATATTTTGATGTGCTGTGGTATGGGACAGGAATGTAAATGCATGGGTCAATGATGTGATGGCCATTTCTGCTACGTTTAAAAAAAATAAATAACATAAATTGAAAATAAATGTAAATTATAGACAAATAACTCAACACCTTCTTTTGAAATTTTTGTTACAAGTTTTTTTTTTTTATTTAACTGAAGACTGAATTAAAGGGATGCAATTCTTAAAATGAAAATAAAAACAAAGAAAATTACATTTTGAAATAAACAGGGCATAAAGCTTTTGGAATTATCTATCTATCTATCTATCTATCACATTTATGTCACGTTTATGTTCTGTTTTGGTTGTGTATCCCCTACGTTTCTGTGCATCCTGCCTTGACTCAGGCTGTGTCCGAAATCTCCCCCTATACCCTCATTCACTATTCCCTACATTAGGTCACTAATTCAGTTCACTAGAAGGAGTGAATGAAAACGAGTAGTGAATTCAGACACTGAGTGCACCGGAAGGAATGCCGCTTTTGCATAGTTTGCTTCTGTTTAACTCTTGGTTTGATAATTAAAGACTCATTTCTGGATTACCCTGGCACCGAGTGCTTCATCCCCACAGCATCGTGACAGAAAGCAAGACCATAAAACGAGATGACTGAACCGAGCGACACTAACTGGGCTGAGGAGCGCCTATGGGACCTTCGACCAGGTAACCATCCCTTATGGCGCTTTTCCACTGCGTGGTACGACTCGGCACGGTACGGCTCAGTACGGTACGGCACGGCTCGGTTCGGCTCGGTTTGCGTTTAGGTACCAGGTACTGTACCCAGTGGAAAACCCCCCAAAAGTGAACCGTACCGAGCCGTACCGTGCCGTACCATGCAGTGGAAAAGCGCCATTAGAGAGGTATGTGGAGGAGTTTGAGCTCTCCCATCAGGTGAGCTGGCCTGATGCCTTTCTTGGTGCTGTGTTTCGGTTGGGGCTGAATGAGAACACAATTCGGTATAGTTATCCAGCGTGTGAATTCACCCTGGTTGAGATGATTAATCTCATTCTCTATTTAAATGGTTCATACTTGGAAGTGGAAGAAGTTAAAGATAACTCGACCCGTTCTCATACAGCCCCCTCTGAAAAGCACTTGGCCTTGCCAATTCACTTCACGCCGGTAACCTCCACATACTGCTGTAATGGATCTGTGTCCTCTGCTCCTTCCAGGTTTCCTCGAGCCCGTAAGTGGGCGTCTAACAGCGAAGATCTGGGAGCCAAGGTTGCGGACCTACCTGTT